CAACCGCCACAGGGCCAGGGAGATGGCTCAGTGGAATAAGTGCTTCCCTGGCAAGCACAAGGACCCAAGTTCAATTCCCAGTTCCAAAAAAAAAAAAAAAAAAAAACAGCCATAAAATGTCAAATAAAATGGAAAGGTGTTTTAGCACATTCATTGGATATAATTAAACTTTAAATACAAAAGACTTACCACATTTTCTTTGATCTTTCTCAGTTTTTCATTGATCTCTTTCAGCCGATTTTTCTGATCCCGCTGCTCTTTAATGTTTCGAAGTACCTGTTCTCCTGGAGTTATTTCCACATTTCTTTCATCCTCAAGTTCAGGGTCCTAATTTAAAAAAAAAAAATGCTGAATATGTCCTTTGGGAAAAACAAAAAACATAAGCATTATAGAATGAACATACATCATTGTACTTCTCATTTCTCCTAGTTTTCAATCTTCAGTAATATCGGTTAACATTATTTCTAGGTGCTAAAGATGGGTATTTCCTCACCATAAGTCTATCCTATGTCTAAACTAAATGCCTCCTCTCCTCTCATGCAGATCTCCTATTCTGTGTTAACACATAACTAACTGGCACCAGTGACATTCTTGAAGTCGCTCAAACCAGAATTCTATTCCTTCCTCCATTGCACATAGTTGATCACCAATATACTCACTACTCTAGTTTCTACCTCTCTAACAAAGGCTCTTCAGTTTTCCATATACTCTTGATGCTCTGAGCATGAATGCTCATGCATGCAGCCAAACACTGATGATCCCAGATCTACCAACAGCAGAATGGCACAGTATGATGGAGCCCTGACATCAGCTGGGATCACCAGTCTTTCTCCCTGGTACCAGTCCTATGGTTAGATTCAGTCAATGTTGGAAAATTATAAGGATGTTAGAAGGAAAAGGACAGAAATCTTGGGGTATTTTTCCCTTCTTTTACCTTCCTTGGCAGTAAAGTTGTGCCAAGAGAGTATCCCTAGGGTCCCCCACATTTTCTTAGATTCAAATGGATATTCACACTCAAAAGCAAACAGAGGTTACACACAGAGCTCATAGAAACATACTCAAGAAGGATAAAAGACAGGAGGCACAGGAGGGCAGTATCAGGGACCCCTTTCAATGGGAGTATTTGCTCGAAGTCCATGTCATAGTGGTATAGCTACAAGGGACAAGAGTACCATCTGTCTCAGTCACTTTCCCATTCTAAGACACAATACCAGACACCCACAAATTGAAAGAGGAAAGGTTTATTTTGCCTCATGCTTTCCATTCATGGTGGACTGGCTTCAAGGCAGAAACAATGCCAGAAAGCCATAGTCGAGGGACAGGCACTCAACCCATGGCACAGAGGAAGCAGACAGAAAAGGGAGGAGCCACAAACAAGGCTACATCTTCCGAGTCACACCCCCCAGCAACCCACCTCCAGCCAGTGCACACCCCTATGCAACACATTTGGCTATTGAGTTCTTCAAGAAAGGAAGCCACTGATAAGCACAGAGTGTCCCCATGAGCTAACCAACTCCCACACACATCTAACTTCTAGGGGACATTTTAGATCTACCATAATGTGCCCTGTTCTGAAAATGTTTGTGTCCCCCAGGAGCCATCCCCTCTTGAATGGACAGCACTGGCACAGAGCTGAGGGACCTAAACAAGAGACAGACTCAAACAGAAAGATCACTACACCTAGGGAAGCCCAATAATGGCTTCCTCATCAGGTCCTTACAATTTTCCCAATTCAAAAGGCCAATTTTAACATGAGAAAAAATGCCTCCCAATCTAGGTGGCTTTCCAACTTTTTTCAGATTGCCAGGCCTTGGAAATAGAATTAAGAGGTTAACTTCAGTTCAAGTTGTCATGAGGAAGCCAAGGGGAGGACTAAATAATCCTTGACCTGTACTCTCTATTGCTAAAGCTTCTCCCTGAGCTCCTATAACACTTTTTCTTCCCCCGTCCACTGTTGTTAGTTCCTACATGAACTAACACCCTTTGCTAACTCCTTTAAATCTACAGAAGGTCTCTACAAAATTAGCTTCAAAAACCAACCACATCTTCCTCCTGTTTCTTGTCCAGAACTCTTACTGACCTACTATGTGGAGAGGGGGAAGACAGGGATATTTGTGTAGAAATACTTTAACCAGTAGACAACTTCACACTGATTAACTTGATGGTAAAAAAAAAAAAAAATCTTGATTTTATCTTATTTTTCTTATACTTTTTCTTTTTCTTTAGTTTTCTTTTTTAACCTGTACATTTTAGATACATATAATAACATTCATCATACAGAATTTGTACCTGCCCATGAAATATCTTGCGTCTTCTATTTTTCCCATTCCCCTCTCCTCCCTTCCACTCTTTTTCCACCTCAATCTTTACAAAAGTTTTGCTTACATTTTTTTCAACAATAAACATGTTATCAACTTCATAACTAGAAGAGCCATTTTGATTTTTAACAAAACAAGTTATCCTACCAAGGCCATTTCTGCTCAACTCTGACAATGTGACTCTCTGCCTCTAAAGGGGACAGATATGAAGGTTAGATTTTTAGCTCCAGTTTTGTGGAAACAATCTGCACTTTTGAGGATATCCTCTTTCTGGGTCTCAGTTTCTTCAAGGAAATTTGATTCCACCACTAAATGCTTAAAAGTTTGTAACTCTCTACAGTTAGGATATGTAATGCACTTCCTTAGTCATGATCTCGGATAGCACAGCCATCTTGTTCAAATACCTGAAGAACAGCAAGTGATAAAAGCAGAGTCCAAGAGCAAATAAAAAAAGGAAGTCGCTGATGTGAGCAAAAGCACCAAGTTATCTATATGCAAAAAGCTCTGTGGTGCCAGGAGGTTCTTTTCTCACAGCAAAGTGCCAGCCAAAGGCTGGGCATGGTGGCACACACCTGTAATCCCAGTGCAGAGGACGCTGAAAACAGGAGGATCACTAGGAGTCGGAGCTGTATAGTCAGACCCTGTACCAAACACATTAAAAAGTGCCAGCCAATTACATGGTCTCAGTGATCACAAGAAATATCTTGATTTCCTGCCACAGAAACACAGTCTTTTCAGCAGATTCTCCAACCAACATACTGTTTCTGTGATTCCTGGTCATATAGGCACAGTGCTATGAAGAACTCCGCACAAACTCTCCCTGATATATGTACAGAACATCTAATGACACCACAAAGAGAAATATCCCTCATGTAAATTGATATTCACTGATTTAACTGATTGCCAAGGGATTTAAGTTCATCCTTAGAAAAATATCTGTGTGCTAAATGAGCCAACAGGGGTCTCGAGATAAATAAACTCATTTTTAAAAGTCAAATACAAAAAAAAATAAAATAAAAGTCAAATACAGAGGAAATTACAGCTTTCTAAATTATCTGGTATGCAAATAAGGGGTTTGCATAAATTAAGGGTTGCAAACCTTCCTTAGTAAAGCCAGTTTGTCCTGTGTTATAGGCAGTGCTACACACTTCCACAGGCAACTGCTATTTCCTTTCAACAGATAGGTCATTGGCCTGGCAGTACCAAAGGCAGTGAGGAAATCTTTCAAACAGATTGTTTTTATCATCTTAGAATATTACCATGAAATAAAAACATCCTCACTGTATAGTGGCATAGCAGAATAACAAATATACACTTCACTGTAATCTAAGATGCAGATTTTTTTAATATATTTTAGCACAGGGACTACAGAGTTTCACTACACAGATCGGACTCATAGTGATCCTCCTGTTTTCAGCCTCCCAAGTGCTGGGATTACAGGTGCCCACCACCACTCCCAGTCTCAGTTAATATCTCAGCGTGCCCCAGGAGTGGGGCTGGCAAGGCACACCAGGTATAGAATCCCGGTCCCTGCACCTGTCTAAGCAGATGCTTTAGTCCGCTGAGCTATTTGGCCAACCCAATACAGGTGGTTATAAGAGCCATTTCCCAGATTTTCCTGAGAACATCTTGACAGGAATGTCTGGTGGAGAATGCTTGGCCTAGAGGCAAGCATCTTGGAAGTGACCTCTTGTTTATTCCTCAGCCCACAATCCAGGCTCTTGTGGCACATTTCTGCATTTCTTCAAAACAAGCACCTGGTCAATAAGAGTTCAGGGCCTGTGACTGGCATATGTTGAAAAACTACTAGAGCCCTGCTCTTGAAGTGTATACCAAGTAAATCAGGGGTTGAGTGGCCTCCATGGTCAGTACTAGAACTATGCAAATCCTTGAAGCCAGCTTTGTACAGTAACATCTCTCAGGATTACATGCTGAACAATGGTTTACGTTTTCTCAATTTTAACTAATATTGAGAAGGGAACAGAACAAAAATAATAAACATTGTTGCTGTCAGCAATAACATGATGTTGGCAAGAAAAGGGATGGATACAATATTCCTCATTTAGCTGCTTGTTAAACCAGACATGGTGGCACACACCTACAATCTCAGCATTCTGGAAGACAATGGAAGGGAGGAACACAAATTCAAGCCCAGTATGTGAAACTTAGTGATTTAGTGGGGCTCTGTCGCAAAATAAAAAATTAAAAAGGAGTGCGGATATAGCTCTATGCAAGGATCCTGGTTTCAATCCTCAGAACCACAAGCACACACACACGCATACACATACACACACACACACACACACACACACACACACACTCTCAAAGTCTGTTAATTTTTGTTGGCCTATCCAAATTGTGTAAAACAATCAATATTTTAAGAACAAGAAGATAAATCAAACTAAGAAGATAATTATATTCAAGTAGGTTAGTTGGTTTAAGAAGAAATAAATGTCTCTTGTCAATAAGAAGCATTTCTAAAGCCCTTTATCCAACTAGAAAAAAAAAATAACCTTGAACTGGAATCCTAAATTTAGTAAGACTAATTGCATGAGAGATGAATAAACCACATTTCTTTACAAGAACCAAAAAGAACAGAATGTATTATTGATTCCAGTTGTTTATGGTTTAAGAAACTAAATGCTTACATAACTTCTGTATCTCAGCTATTTCTAGAGAAAGCTGGAGTCTGATACATCTATGAATAAGAAAAATTAAATTATAAAACATTGCTCAGATTTATGATGGGATTTATAATATGTGGAAAAATCTGATTTATTGTAGAGTTCAGAGATAGATATGGAAAGGCATGCACAGTTAAGCCACAGATCTTAAGAAAAAAATTGCTTCAATTAGTTCTCTTTTGCTAAGATGAAATGAAAATAAAAAGCAGATGTAAAACCTGCAATCACATATTATTAACATGACAGCAATAGGCCATTATTTCTTTTGAATGTGATAACTATGTGCTTTGTTTTACACAAAGGAAATCGGATATGTAAAAACTAA